CGCCAAGTTCCCGGGGCGCCGCGGGGCTCAGCGCGCGCGGCCGCGCTCCTCCGCGTCCCCCGGCCGCCGATCGGCAGCCCCGGGGGGGTCGGCGGTGCCCGCGGGTGGCGTCCGAAAAATGGGCCAGCAGCCGGGGCGCGCTCCGCCGCCCGGGCTGAGGCTCCGCCGCTGGCTTTCCCCAGCCGAGCGCCTCCGCCGCCGCCGCCGCCGCCGCCGCCTCCTCCTCATTCAAGTCCAAGGAGATCGGGTTTCGCCCCGAGACCGCGGTCGGAGGCAGGCAGACGGTCTGACGTCAGCGCTAGACGGGGCTGCCGGTTCCCACCGCGCGGGGGCCGGGGAGGGGGCGCGCGCTGCGCCAATCCCAGCCGAGGTTCCCCCGCACCCCCTCCCTGGGCCGAGGGGCGGGGAGTCGGGAAACGGGGCGGGCTCTTAAAGGGCCAGAGCTTGGCGGCCCCCGTAGACCCGGGACCTGCACGGCGCGGAGGGGCGCTGTGCACCTCTCCAACCCGAGTCGGCGTGGAGCCGGAGCGAGGCTCTGGGGGCGTGCCCCCCTCCCCCGCCCCCGGGTTCGTGACCCGGGCTTTGAGGGGAAGTCTGTCTCCCACGGAGCGCGAGGTCCCCGGGGTTCGGGGCAGGGAAATTGGAGCAAGGGGGAGGAGCCCCTCACCCATAGTCTGAGGTGGCCGGAGACTGCCCGCCTGCCCTGTTTCGGCCGCATCGGGCTCCGGGCCACTGCGCCTGCAGCGCACTTTAACCCGAGCGGTCCGTGGCTCGCTCTGGAAGATGAAGTCGCGTAGGCGAGTCTGGGACGGCCCGGAGGAACGCCCGGGGGCCCTCGCGGTGTAAATACGCGCCGCAGACTGGGGGCTTGGCGCTGCGGGGACCCGGGAGGCTGCGCCGACAGAGGCGACCGACATTGTCTGGTGCCCCGGGGCCCAGGGGCGGGGGGCGTGGCCCCGGAGTTCAGCTGGGGGTGTGCGGGCGTGTACTTTTAGCTCATTAAGTTTTAATTACAAGAGCGCTACAAGAACACATTCTCCAGGTTTGAAAAGATATTAAATATTACATAAGAGGCCTCCCTCCCTAGCGCAACTCTCCAGCTCTCAAGATATTTGGGGCGGCGCCTCTTAAACCCTTTCCTACATTTCCACTTACTAAAGAAGCGTCGTGGAGTTCCTACTGTGTGCCAGAAAGGAGCCAAATATGATCTCAACTGGACACCAACGTGCGGAGGTGAAATGTTGAGGGCTGCGTTGTGCAGAGCGGGAGCTGGCCAACGAGGAGGCGCACGTACTGCCAAGGTCCCCCGGCATCTGCTCCCCCACACCCACACGTTTCTAGCTCTTTATCCACACGCAGCACTCCTGCGATGCTTGTAGCTTTATTAATGAGCAGGGACTCCTTTTGTATTCCGAGGGAAAAGAAACCTGTGCAAGTTATTTTGCCCTTAATAGCTTGGATAGAGGGCTGAGGGGAGGGTTTGGGAGGTGAAGGTGGAGCAGAAGGCAGAGTCTAGCCCTGGACAAATGCACCCTGTTGGCTCCTGAAGGGTAGCCAGAAGAGGCAGCGCTTGGCCTGTGGTGCAGAGCGAGGTCCGAAGCTCTCCCTGGAAGGCTGGAGGGGCTTTCCGGAAGCTCACGGGTGGATCACCACTCTAATTGGGAGGAGGCCGAGTGTGCAGTCCAGAGAGAGGGCAGGAGGTGCTGACAGCCATTTGTTGGGAAGGGAGACTTGGTCTCAAAGCCACAGCCACCTGGGCCGGGCCCCCACCCCACCCCAGCCCGGAGGTCTTGCCGCAACTTGGCTCCTGTAGCTTGCAAAGTAAGCTGCCTCGGAGCCCAGCAAAAGCGTTGGCTGGGCCTTGGGATGCCCCTGATTCCCTGTGGAGATCGCCATTACTAGCCCTCCTTGCAGCCTTGTCTTCGTTCATTCAATCAACAAACTCCACAGAGCTCCAGCCCCGAGCACAGGAATTCAGCAATGCCAGACACAGCTCCTGCCCTCCGGGAAGTCTCTTGCAGGAGATCTGGCTCGTCTGGCACTGAGAAATCACACGTTGATTGTCTTGGAAATGAAGCAGCTTTTACACAATGGAGGCTGAACGACAGCAGGCAAAAATAGCCAGTTAATTCAGTGGATTGAAGAAAACAAACCTCCCCAGAGTGCTTGACCTTCCATTGATCCGTCTAGGACAAGGCCAGGGCCACCACTTACCAGGTGCTACAGTGTAACCCTACAGTCCCCGGGGATTGGCTTAGTGATCTCTGGCCCTAGTTCCAAAGTTGGTTCCACTTGGAGGGCGTCGTCCAGTGTGGCGGTCAGACTGGGCCCAGGTGGATCAGCGGAACGAAGCAGTGTGGCCTGGGGTGACTGTCTTCACCTCCCTGACTTCAGTTTCCTTCTCTGCTGAGTGGGACCGTTGATGGCACCTTCACGGGCACCACTGTGGGGACTTGGGTAGATGTCTTGAAAGAATTCAGGAAGAGTGAATATGTATAAGCTCTTGGGCTGTGTAATCCTCATGGAAACCAGGGGAAGGGAGGACCTACCTGCCGACATTTTACTGTCCATTTACCTTCCCTTGGGCAGGCGGATGAATTGATTATGGGGACCTTGGGCCCCAGGCAGTGGGAAAAGACACGATTACTTTGGGAAGAACATGGGTTTGACATCCACACTCATGGGCAGCCTCCAGCGCACCTAGGGCTGTCACATGAAATACAGACACCTGGGGAAATTTGCATTTTGGGTAAACCGTGTTCAGTATATCCCATGCAATATTTGGGACTCTGCTTGCTCTAAAAATTTGAGTGTTGCTTATCTGAAATTCAAATTCAACGGGATGTCCTGTGCAGTTTTGTTGAATCTGGTAATCCTCATGCTGGGAACGCAGCCACAAGGGCACAGAGCCCAACACAGGCTGGACACAGGCAGCCGAGTTTACATCTCAGAGTCTGCTGGGGAGAGAGAGGCAAAGTTAGGGTATCAGCAAGCCAGGGTGGGAGAGCTTACTTTGCTGGGATCTGAGGGGCTAGAGGGGAGGAGCCCAGTGCTGATCGAGCGGCCTTAGTGCCCACAGGGAAAGGCCACAAATCAGGGAAAGAAGTTTCTTTGTTCAGTCAACAAATACTGTGCTGCTATTCAGTGCCAGGTTCTATGCTGGACACCAGACTGTAAAGGAAACAACGTTCTTGCCCTCATGTGATATCTTGGAGGGCAAAAGGGACCACAAATACACACACAAACCCATAGTTCAACAAGGTCATTTCAGTTACGATGATGACGAGCCAGAGGCCAGGTTGGGACAAAATCACAGAGGCCTGCCTGGCGGAGATGGCTTCTCACTCAACCCACCGACTGAGCATCTGCCGAGATGTTTGTGGGCAGAAGAGTCTGGGTGATAATTCTAGAGGAGAAAAAGAGCTAGGGGGAACAGAGAAGGAAAGGGTCTGGAGGGGACCTGAGTGCAAGAAGTCAGGGCCACCTCTCTGGGACAGTGGGAGCCCCCAGGCACGTTAGGGATCCCAGGCCAGGGGCAGCAGGTGCAAGGCTAAAGCTGTGGGCGGTAGAGGAGCCAAGGGCCCTTGAGATCCCAGGAACTCTGGAGTTTGGACCATGTTTCCCAACTCAGCTGTGTTCACAGGGTTGTGAAAGGCACTTGTCTCCTGAGTGACTGCTGGGACAGACTACTTGGAGACTCCAGACAGTGTGTGCTGCCAGCAGCCCTGCCCGAGCACTGAAATCTGCAGAGCAATGTCTAGACCCAGGGAGGAGGCTTTGCTTCAGACACCCCTAGCAGGTTGGGGTGCTGGGCAGCCTCGCGGGGTGTGCCCTCCACACTCCCGTGGCCCCTCTCCCCACGGACACAAGAGTTCAGGGCTCTGCTGCCTAATGTTGCCTGGAAATTTGCAGTCATTAAGCATTTTTTACCAAGGGGCCTCAAAAGTTCTGTAGCCGGTCCTGTTCAGAAGCCAGCCAGAGCTGTGGCACCTGGGATCCCATAGGAGCCAGCGTGGGTGCTGGCCATGGGAGGGTGGCTGGCTGCGTCTTCTTGGTGCTGGCAGAAGGTGGCTGTGCACTGTGGAAAGCACCCAGCTGCATCAACATAGGCCCTGCTTGGAGAGCGGGCTGTGGATGGGGTGGGAGGGCTTCTCTGGCCAGCCCTGTCCCTCACGTCCTGCCACCCAGGTCTGAGGACAGAGGTGGCTTTTCTTGGGCAGTCCTAAGCGGTTTAACAGCACCGAGTCCTTGTCCTCCAGTCCTTCCTGGGCTTCGTTCAGCTGTCTCCTTCCCCTGGTTTTACTTTAAACCCTAATAAGAACGACTGTGTATTGAGGCCAGCCTGTGGCCTGGCATGGTTCTCCCACTTCATTTTCTTCCACTCAACAAGCACACATCAGGCTGTCCAGTGACCCAGGGCTTAATGCGTTGGATCCCCACACAGCCCAGCAAGTGAAAGCTTACATTGTTCCCGATGGACGGAGAGTGACACTGAGCCTTGGCACCTATGAGTGAGGTGAGCCAGGGTGTGAATGCAGATACCTTGCACCCCATCTCTTGGCCAAGGGCCTCAGCAGGCGATGTCTTCTGTGGCCCTTTTCCATCCTTGCTACCTTAGCCTGATAGCCCTGCTTACCCCTGCTGGATTCCTGCAACACTGCCCTCTCTGGTCACTACAATTTGCCTCACTACTTTGAGGTTTTCCTACATAAAAGCTCATTCAAGTCGCTGCCCCTGACTTCTGCAGAGCCCCAGGCACTTTCTCCAGAGTCCAGTGTGGCTACTGGGGCAGGTGACTTCACCTTGCAGAACTCAGGATTTCACAGTGAGCGGAGGAAATGA